GGGCTCCTGGCCTTACTACTAGGAGCAAAGGACGCTACTAGGGGCTCTTGGCATCGCTACTAGAGCAAAGGACGCTAACCATGACCTTCTTGCAAAAATGTTGATCATGTTGCTGCTGGCTTACACCATGGCAAAGCACAAGAAGTCTGCACACCGCCCTTGAAGACACAAACATAAGCTATATAGAAGACTGCAAGCAATTGCAGCATGTTTCTCCTCTTTGCTCCTGCTTTGGTGATTGCAAACTGCAGAAACTTGCAAATCTGGTAGCTGGTTCATGGCATTTAGAATGTTTTCGCTCTGGCTACACGTAACATTGGTTTAACCGAGTTCAACCCGTAGAACTTCAAGGAGCTTTCAGCCCTTTCTCAGAATGTGCCTTGAACGTCCAATGGTCTGATTAGCAGGGTGTTTTGGAACTGCAGCTATTGCTTGTCATTGCTTGTCATTAAGGACGCTACTAGGGGCTCCCGGCCTTACTACTAGGAGCAAAGGACGCTACTAGGTAGTAATACTAGGTAGCAAGAACTCATTGCTTATCGTTGCTTGTCGTTTTGTCAGGTGCCTAAGCTAGCTGTGCTGCTGGTACTCCTGGCCGATGATCTGACGGCGCCAAGGTGCAGCGTTCTTTATGCTACTAGTATGGCTAATGCCCTTTGTTCCTAGTAGCGTTCTTGTTACTAGTAGTAGGGCCAGGAGCTACTAGTAGCGTCCTTGCTCCTAGTAGTAAGGCACCTGTTACTACTAGCGTGGCACTTGTTCCTAGTAGCGTCCTTTGCTCCTAGAAGTCAAAGGAAACGCAACACAAATCTTCTTCCTGAATCGGCTTATCCACTTTTCTCCAACGTCGTTTCATGAGCCGCAGACTCTTTGGTAATCAGTGTGTTTTAGCAACTTTGTTTTGTAATTGGGTATCAGTATCGGACGAAGTCGTTGTTTGTGCTTTGTATCCTCCAGGCAAGAGGAATCTTCAAGGCGGAATGCAACTTGAAAAGAGCGCAGAACTGTCTTGTTTTCAAAGCGCTCTTGCGAAACATTTGTCGTATGGGCTACAAAAGAAGACGTGGATTCTTAACTTACAAAGGGCTTAATTCACTTAACTTAGTTTTCCCCCCAAAAAATAGGAACTAAATCATTAATCATTGGTGCGAGCGCTTCATCAAGGAAGCTCTCTTCCCTGCCACCTTTAGGGCGGGTGGAGCTTGATGGAAGAAGCGTGGCGTCCAGGCTCCTAGTAACAAGTGCCACGCTAGTAGTAACAGGTGCCTTACTAGTAGTAACAAAGAAGCTATTAGAATTGATTTAAAGTAATTTTAATAGCTTCTTGTTACTACTAGTA